AAAAAAAAAAAAAAAAAAAAAAAAAAAAAAAAAAAAAAAAAAGAATAAATAAGCCAAATGGTTCATTGTGCCTCTTCTAGGATACCAACCTTCTGACCGTGATTCTGTTCTTGCTCAGTCTCATTTCATGATGTCAACAGAGGGAAACTAAATTGCAATAGATAATTCATGGTTTGGATAGTTCATTCATTCATTCACTGATAAGGTCTATAATTTTTTCTAATAACAAGTTCTGCCCTCCACAAGCTGGTCAGCTAATCAGACTTTCTTCTCCAAATATCTAAATGGGGTCGCTCATTAGTAATTACAGAAAACACTTCTGAGTAGTAGCAGATACATGGGTTGTTAATGAGAACCTAAGCAGTCACTGGGATCATGATGGAAAGTCTAAGACACAGAGAAGCGGAGTATAGGTTCTGCTTCTAGGGGTGCTGATTCAGAAACTCTGGGTTTAGTCTAACCCAGTTTCTGTATGGCCCTAGTCAGTTTTTTTTCTCAGCTAGGTTTAGGATCACTGGGTTAAACCAATCCTGGCTGTTGGGGGCTGGCAAAGGAATAGCTTTGCTTCATAGTTTCCTTCCTGTAGTAGAATTTGAGTGGACTGAGGTGGAATCTTCAATGAAGTGGGTATTTTAAGAGTTCTGGCCTAGGACTGTGTCTCTTATGAGCCTATCTGTCTGTAAAGTGATGATAATAACAGTATTGTGAGGATAATTGGAGATTGTGTATATAAAGATATCCTATAAATTACAAAGCATTAAACAAACGCCAGGGCACAGATAATGAATGAAAAAATGGACAAACTCCCCATGGGCTAGAGGAGAGATTACTTCTGACAGAAAGGGAGTCGAGAATGGCTTCATAGATGAGAACGATTCTAAGTTGGGCTTTGAGGAGGGCAGGACTTCTGGTGGCCAGCAGTATTTGTCTGTTGGGGGGCAGCACCCAAGGTAAAGAAAACCCACTGGAGTAGACAAATGCAGGGCATTTCCGGGGAACAATAAGGAATTCAGAGTGGCTAGGTAAGAGGGGGAGTTTTGGGTGAACATACAGACATAGAAAAAAGGAACATACAAAGGTCTGCATGTCATTAATCTGAATCATAGGTCAAGCTTCACTATGTAAATAGTAATTCTTTTTTTTTTTTTTTTTGGTTTGGGGAATTGAACTTGGGACCTTGCGCTTGTGAGGCAGACGGCAGCACCACTGAGCTAAACCCCCGGCTCTATAATGGTAATTCTTGAGGGCATCTATAAAAGAATAACATAGGATAATAGTTGACATAATAACTGATCATTATTTCAAATTGTCAAGGAAAGGTTAAACTAGTTAAGAAGGCAGAGAAGCATATTTTCATTTGAAATATTTAGGTAGTAAGTAGTTAAAATTAGGCCCAGTGTTGCAGTACACATCTGTGATCCCAGCACTGGGGAGGCTGAGGCAAGAAGATCGCTGAGAGTTCAAAGCCCACCTGTGCTACATAGTGAGACCCTGTATAAACAAATAAACAAACAAACAAGCAGGCAAACAAATACATAGTTAAAATTAAATGTGTCTTGGTGCTAGAAGAGCTTGCTTTAGTGATCTCAGAAATTTCTCTAGAGGAACACTTCTTTTAATAATGATGGATTAATGAAGTACCACTATGTGTTATTTTAATTTTCTCATAAAAAGAAGTATAAGCTCCCTGGAATAATAAGGTTTGAAAACAAACAAACAAAAAAAGTAGGCTTGCAATTAAAATACCTCTGCCACTTTTACTCTTGTGTAAAACACTGGCTTTTATTTTTACTCAGAGGGAGTTTCTGTCTAGTTCTGTCTTAGTGCTTTTTCATAGCTCCTGGAGCCACGTAATTACCAGGAGAAAGTTGCTGATTTCCCTGTTGTCCCAGCATCACTCCTGGGAGGCAGAATTATGTAAACACTGGGGTCAGATGCCCACACCTACTAACTTTGTGGCCACCACTCATTTGTCCTATAAACATGGGCAAGTTACTTAATGACTCACTGAGTCTTAACTGACTCTTCTCATTTGTAAGATAGTACTAATAGTGCTTGCAGAGTTTTGAGGCTGAAATAAAGGAATACTTGTCGGCCCATGGAATAATGCCTAGAACAAAGTCAGGGCTCAACTTACTTTTCTTGCACAAAATATGTGTCTGAGATGATGTTTCTGAGAGTCATCCATGTAAAGCTCTTTTCTTTTCACTGCTATAATAATACTCCACTATTGAATGACTTAAGATTACTCCAGTTTTGCTGTTGCCAATAAGAATGAGAAGGACTGGGGATGTGGCTCAGTGCTGCCTTGCCTGCCTGGCAAGGTCCTGAGTTTGATTTCTGGTACCAGAATTAAAATAAGATTGTAAACATTCTTGTAGCATTCTGATACAAGTGCAAAAGTTTCTTTAAATAATACAGTGATCGTTCCAGTTTTATAGCTATTGTGAATATAGGAGTTCCAGTTATTCTACATCCTTCCCATATTATTACACCTAGGAATTTTTGCCATCCTAGTGGGTGATTTTTTAATTTATCTGATTGCTAATAAAGATAAGCCCCTTTTCATGTATATATATGAACCATTTGTGTTTCCTCCTCTGTGAAAGGAGACACTTGCTGTTGGTGACTGGGTTGCTTTCTTTTCTTAATGATTCAAGGCAATTCTTTATATGTTTTAGATATTGCATCACTTATTAATTCCCTCTCAACTAGTCCGTTGTACTTTTTTTTTTTTTTTTTTTTTTTTTTTGCAAATCTCAGAGTCAAATTCATTACAATTTCAACTTCAGGGTTTCATCGGTGATTCTCCTCTCTATTTCTTGTGGAAGGTGGATTTGGATGGTTAAAAGCAGGTCCCCTAGCCTTTTCTGCTGGGCTATAAGCATCAAGTGCTTGTTGTGGAGATGGTGAAAGGTGCTTCCCAACTCCACTCTAAACAACAGGAGGTCTGTATGTCCTGTAACACACAGATAAGGTAAAGTAAGGAATCCTGGGTAGTGGAATTATAGGTATTTCTTGCTTTCAGTGTACTTTGACAATTTTCTAACTTCCCAGTGATAACTGTGTTATTTATATAATCAGAAATTCACAATTGGTTTTAAAATCATTTTACTCATTAAGGTCTGTAGCTTTTAGAGATGTTTGACTAAACATAGTAGTAGCAGTAGGTTAAGAAAAATCCCATTCCCAGTTTACAAGGTAAACACATCTGTGAATTGACAGATGACACATAGCAGAGGCCAGATATGACAAATCCAACCCCTTTACAAGCTAAATTCTGTGTTCCCAAGGAGGCTGTAAATTATACATGTAGACTGCCTTTATATCCATTGCCTCTTTTAGGTATTTAATTGGAGCTGCTACTGTTGACAATGACGATGGTATCCTTGAGTGCTTTGTTGTGCACCATTTAAAAATCTACCACACAAGGTTCCGAGTCAAATCCCCAGTACTACTACTACTACTACTACTAATAATAATAAAAATCTACCAACATTCAGACAGTGATGCATGACTGTAATCATAGCACTCTGGGAGGCTGAAGCAGGAGGATCACAAGTTCAAGCCCAGCCTGGGGAACTTAGTGACTTAGCAAAACCTTGTCTCAATAGATAAAAAAAGGCTGGGGTATAGCTCAGTGTGAAGGGTCTGGGTTCAACTCTTAGTTTTGCAAACCAACAAACAAACCCTAACCTGCCATGTTTGCTTATACTAATTGTTTTAGTCCCCCACCAGTGGAGCAGAGGAAATGGACTTGAAGATGGATCCCCTGGAGTCAATCTTATGGGATTCAACCTGGAAGAGATGCATGAGGCTGAAGCCTGGATCCAAAAGATCCTGACCTCCCGGGACCACCACGTTATTGAGAACAATCTCATTCTGTACCTTGGCAAAAAGGAACATGAATTTTTGTCTGACCTTCAAACAACCTCACGTGTCTGCATCTTAGAAGTTATCCATCCGGAGAAGGCAAAATTGGAGATTAAAGGAGCTCAGGCTGACTGCATTGAGGTGGTTATGAAGATTGAACATATGCTATGTGACGTTCAGGAGGAAATAATAAGAAAAAAGGAGCAAGGCCTTCAGAGCTTGTCAGGTGCGTAGCTTCCTGTTAACTTAGAAAGTCAGCTCTCCCAGCTGTGCTTCCTTTGGGTGTGACTGTGCTCATACACGTGTGGATAAACCAGAGTGGGAGAGGAAGGAGCAAGCCATCCTGCTTCTGTGTTAGGTCATAAGCTTTTACGAGCCATTTTTAGATGCCCTTTCTGTCATCTGAGTCATTTATTAACAAATGAAAGACACACAGAGGGAGGGGGGTGGAGGGGAGGGGGCATGCGACACCTGAGTTGCCTGAGTGGCTGTTGTAGGAGAGCCTAGAGTAAAACCTATGCCCAAGCCATGGGGGAAAGGGAGCCTACAAAGTGAGCCTTCGAATATAGACACATTCCACTTGATTATTTCTTTCATTGAGTTTTATTGTATTTATTTGAGGCAGCAACAGAAACCCTAAGTAAATTTTTTTACTTTGAGCCTTGTCATCATCATTGGTACACTTTAGTATCTCCTATTCATCAGGATATCTGTGGAAATTGGGGTCTGGAAGATTTTTTTCAGCAGAGCCCTAGAGTCAACCAGGAAATTACACCATTTAAAATGCCACTCTGGGAAACAGGATTGTTTCACTCATTCAGCTACTGTGTACTTAACCATGATACCTGCCAAGCATTGTGCTAGGTACTAGGGGTAAGCAAGGTGGACATTGTCCCTGTTCAAAGTCTAATTGGAAAGACTGACAGGCAAGCAAGCAGATGAGTTATGTTGGCGGAAAGTGAAAGTACTCTAGAAGTGTTGAAGAAAAGCACCTCACCTGGACCTGGGAGGTCAGAGGAAGGCTTCTCACAGAGGTGCCCTAAACAGAGAACTGAGTAATAAGTAGCCATTAGCCAGGCAAAGAAAGCAACTCTTTAGAAATAAGGTTGTTAGTAGAGACTTGGTTATATAAGACCTTATAAACTTCATGAAAGCTTTCATAGCTTTCCTAAGCAAATGAGAAACCATGGAGGATTTGAAGAAAAGATCAGATGTGTTTAGTAAGTTCCCTGGCTGTAATGTGGAGAATAGACTTAGAAGAGGTTCAAAGACTCAGATGCAATATTTCATAGGACCTTTTATTTCCATGTGTCTGTAAAAATCAGTCAAGAACACCCACTGTGGTGGCACATGACTGTAGTCCCAGCACTCAGGAGGCTGAGGCAGGAGGATTGCCAGGAGTTTGAGGCCAACCTGGGATACATAGTGAGTTCAAAGCCAGGCTTAACTACACAGTGAGACCCTGTTTCCAAAACAGCAGAAGCAACAACAACAACAATAACAAAAGTCTGGAAGAAATGATCAAAGTGAGTGCAAGTTTGCGATACATGTTGTGTCTACATTTCACAGAAAACTCAGTGACTAAAAACATGGATAAAAATATTATACAAGCATGACAACCAAGATTATGATTTCAACTTAGTTTCTGAAAGATAATAAATGTGGTTATTTAAACTGACACTGGTTTCAGTTCAGGAGAACAGAAGACAAAGAAACTCTGATCTATAAAGCTTGTGCCATTATTTTAACTGCATTCATCAGTTTGATCCACTATCTCAGCAACTAGCAATTAGAATGAAGATAAGTCCTTTGTTCCACTGCAAGATGGCACTTTTGCTGGGGATGTAGTTCAGCAGTAGAGCACTTGTCTAGCATGTGCAAAGTCCTGGATTTGATCCTTAGCATTGAAAACAAAACAAAACAAAACAGCATTTTTGAGTAAGCATTTAGCAGGTTTCATATATTACTTCACAGCAGTGTTTCAGAGGTTCATGCAAACTGAAATCTCTCAGATTAAAATTTAGAGTACTAACAAAATGGATGATTTTGAAACGCTCTTATTTTAGGGAACATCAAATAGTCATCAGAACAATAAACGTTCAAGAAAAACAGAAGTTAAGTGTCACCCTCCTTTTATGCTATTCTTTTAATCCTTCTTGGTGAGCACCATTGACCACAGAAGTTCATGGATGGATCTTTGGGTCCCCAGTGCCCATTCCAGGGCCTGGCATGTAGTAGGAATTTGAAAAATGTTTGTTGAACTCAAATGAACTTAACCCTAATATTATACCTTATAAATGTGAGCTCTTGGTCTCCAAATTTAATTCCTAGTCTCTTCCTTTGAAGTCTTCTGGCTTCAACACTCCTCTGCTATGGGAGTTTTCTCAGATTTACAAAGTCAGACCTTTAGTGAAGGGGCCTTTTGTGGTTAAATTGAGCCCTTTCAATTAGATAATGTACTAGGGATTGGGTCATTTTAGTATATTTGGTTTTAAGCCAAATTAAAATAAACTGAAGCAAATTTTTGAGGGGGAGATTTCTATTTCTCCACCTGTACCTGTCCAATAAAGAACTTGCTTGAACAAAAGCAGGTCGTAGGGGTGGGGATTTAGCTCAGTGGTGCTGCTGCCTGCCTCGAAAGTGCAAGGTCTGGAGTTCGACCCCTGGTACCTGCCCCCCCCAAAAAAACCTTTCTGTTTACAGAACGTAGAGACAGAAGTTTTGTGTTGCTCATTTTTAGGACAATGGACTGATCAGCAAGGAAAACCACAAGATGAAGTGAATGAAGTGATCTTGTTCCAGCGATTGCCAGTGCTTTTAACACAAGAACTTGAGGATCAAAAGAAACAGTTTAAAAAACATGGTTTGCTGGTTATAAAGGTATACCTGATGAAGGAGGGGCCTGGCTCATCTTGCCACTTATTAACTTGGTTCTGCAGCCAAAGGAAAAGCTTACCTGCTGATGACTCTAAGCTAGCTGCCCAGTGACCTGGGATCCTACAAGGAAGGCAAGGGAGGGAGAGAGGGAGGGAGGGGCAGAAGTAGAGTTGGAGTCACGTGGAAGAAATGATGTTAAGACGTAGAGAAGCCAGATTCAAGATCCAGAAACCAGTGATCTGCCCACCTTTGGGCAATACAAAAGAAAACCAAACAGTGTTTATCACAGTGTATTGTAATTACTTACGTATTTTCACTTCTTACTAAACCATGAACTTTAACCACTTAACTGTTTACCCCGAGCATCACTTGAGCAGGGGTCATTTCAAGAGTCAGTTCTTGTTAGCACGGGATACACTCGTATGTCCATTTATTTGTTTTAAATCGACTTTTTTTGCATACTTTTTTATTTAGAATGTTGTATTTACCTTTGGTGTTTGTTTCGAGTGAAATCTAATAACAAGTTCTGGTTTCCTCTTTTACTAATTTGTGTTTATTTTATTTGTGAAAAATACCCTATAATGTTGCGCTACAATTGATAAAAACATGTAAGTACATTAGATATAATTTCTGTACTTCTCCAGAACTCAGCAAAATCCTTTTACAATATAAAATGGACAATTTTGGACACTGAGATGGGCAGGAAGGAAGGGCTAAAAGATCTGCAAAAGAAAAAACTTAAAGAGAGAGGAATGTTAGCATATTCGAGAGGAAAGTCTATTGTGAAATGAAAAAACAAAAAAGACATCTTGTCAACTATTCGTGATACAGAAATGACAGAACTTGAAAGAAGAAATGAAACTAAAAAAATTCCAACAGTGGTCAATGATTATAATAATTCTATGGGTGGTGTTGACAGGGTTGACCATCATCTAACAAGCTATTCTATATTCACAAAGCGAGGGAAAATATTATCATATAATATGATGTACCTTCTGGAACAAACAATATAGAACTCATTTGTTATTGATTCAAAACAAGGGGGATCAAAAAGTCATTTACAATTTAGATTAGGTTTAATAGACCAAGTAATTGAAAAATACAAAATAGCAAAACACCAACCAGGATGTCTGTCGTCAACGTCTTCACCATTACATTTTTTTATTTTTTATTTTTTTGCTTTTTATTGAGTTTATTGGTACATTCTAGGTCTACAGTACAGTTACATTCATTACTGGAATCTTGTACCTTTACATGACAGGTCTTGGCTCTCATTTTTTCCACTTGTCCCTGCCCTCCCTTCACTCCCTCCTCCCCTCCCCATTTACAAACACTTTATTTCCATTTTTTCATTTTCTCATACTTTTTTCTTTTCCCTTATTCCCTTTCCCCTACCCTTCCCACTTTCCCTACACCTTTAGCTCTTTCACCATTACATTTAGTAGGTAGACATTTTATTGAAATTATACCACCCACCAAAAAAAAAGGAAGCCAAAACAACACTGTAAAGTGTGTTGTTCAAAGAAAAATAATAATGCAAAGAAAAATTGGAAAGAAACTAGATACTCCTGTCCAGATTGCAACATTGCATTGTGTTTTTTGCCTTTTGGGTTTTATTTTTGGTACCGGAGACCAAACTCGGGTCCTTGCACTTGCGTGGCAGGCGGTGGAACCACTGAGCTAAATCCCTAGCCCCAGCAGTGCATTGTGTATTGGATGTTTTAAGATATACTCTAAACAGAAAAATTATTTAATAAATTTGATGAAACTGTTATGTGTAATTCTGTTATATTACTTTATAAAAATTAACAAAGAATACACAATGTTTGGTCATCTTGTATTTAAATAATTGGATCGGTAAGTGGTTAAGAGGGCAGACACTGTTGCTGACCTTTTCATTATTAGTGCTTGGCACATTGTGATTGCTTAGTGAATTTTTATTAAATGAATCCATTGAAGAAGCAGCAGAGAATTCTGAAGAGATAGATATCAAACAATGAGAAGATTGGGGCCAGAGAGAATCTTACGCAACTTTATTTGAAAAGCAAATTATATGTAAAGTAGTTTGCATAGAAGGAAGCACCTTTATTTTTTAAGCAGTACAAGAGGCAATTTGAGTCACTGTTTTCCGGTCTCTTTTTGAGTTTTTCTTTTCTTTGGGTTATAGGTGGAGAAGATAGACAACCCGGTTCTTATGGCTGCCTTCCAAAGAAAGAAGAGACTTATGGAAGAGAGAACACACAGGCAGTCCGTGAGCCGCAGGCTGTTTCAGCAAGTCCCACGTGGGCTCTGCAGTGCGGTTTGCAGAATTGGTTTCCAGAGATTGTACTCTGTGCCCTGTGGTAGGTGTCAGCCCCTCATGCTTGGGGCTACTCCTGTGGGAATTGGGAAGCAGACATCGGCAGATAGCTCACTAGTAAAGGCATCATCCTGTGGGGTGGGGAATCATTTCCAGCTGGAATTTAGAGGTAAAGTGTTTCAGAGGGGGTTTATTTTAAACTTTTCCTTCATGTCTGTTATTGATAATGCATTTTACATTGATGAAAGTATATGGAGTAGGATCTTCAGTTCACTGTTGTTTGGTTTTTTCCCTCATTTCTGTTTCTGTGTCTTATCACAAGAGAGCACCTTGGGCTTTTTTCTTTTTCTTTTTGGCTTACTAATCTCAACAAAATTATTAACAACACCACTGAGCTGTTCTCAGCCCTTAATTAAAAGGACATTTCCCTAAATTTGAGACAGTTGGTCTCAAATTGGTCTTCTAGTTAACCCTTTTCATTTCTTGTAGCCTACTAGTGAGTGAATTAGATGTGGTAGGTGAAGTGAGTAACATCTCAATATCCTTTTCAATCACAGGAGTTTCAGGTGTAGTGTCCACATCTCTCTTCAATTATATAGAATCATGGGACATTTAATTGTTATACGATACCCTTTCTTTTTCAGTCGTCATTGAAACCTTCTGGCTTTAGCTATCTCCCAAGGAGGCCAAGGACTTCAGCAGTCATCACAGGGGGACCTAGCAGTGCAGTTTCATTTTGCCTGGTCCATTCACTAGTAGCCCCCGACCTTTACCTTTCAAATGTGCAGCATGGCTTCTGCTTTGGAGTCACTTCTAACAGTCTTGGTTTCTAGAAAGCCACAGGTCTGGATTCATCTTTTTGACGAAAAGAACTTCGTCACTAGCAGGGGTAAAAATTGAGCACAGACAATTTCCTAGAGATAAAAATAAATGAATTACCATTGCCAGGAAACCTTCTGAGTTCGATCAAAGATGCGATGATCTGTATGTTCCCTTCACTGCCAAAGTCTTACGTTGGCAACGTTCATTTGCTTCTTCATTAGTTTCTGTACTTAGACTGTTCTTGCTAAGATCATCAGTATCTTCCTGTTTTCTAAATCTGGTGAGTCCTCTTCTCAGTCCTGTGCCCAGCGTTGCTAATTTTCTACCTAACATCTATACACATCTTTCCTCCCAGAACAACACCATCCTCCCAAAGAAGAGTCCTGATGTCTTATCTAGGCTCATCATCAGCCTCAAGTCTAGGCAGTTCTCTCTAAAAGATTAAAGGCAAGGAATTGCCCCCACATTCTCATTAGATAATGATACCAGAAGGAACGGGAAATGTGCAGTGAAAATTCCCTTTCTGAAAGGGAAGAGAGAGCATGGTAGTGCGTTCTGGGAGGCCAAAGTATGAGGATGGCAAGTTCAAGCCCAGCCTGGGCAAATTGGCATGACCCTTCCTCAAAAATAGGGCTGGGGATGTAGCTCAGTGCAATTAAATTCAACACTACTCAAATTGCACCTTAAATTCAACCCCCGGTACCACAAATATACATGCAACAAACAGTCACTGGCCCACACGATTTATCATGTGTGACTGGTCAGGAATAGTAAGGACTTCCTATTCTGGGAGTAGAGTAAACCCTTATTTTTGCACTGTGGGAGATATTTATTATGTGATATAGGTCCATTACCTGCCAGGGGACCATGGATTGCCTCACAGGCTATCACTTGCTCAGGCTGGTACAGCCAGGCTTGTGATTTCTTCAGCAATATGGTTCCTTTAAAAACTCAGCAGGCATGAGGCCTTCTCACTTCCAGTCAAGTTTACAGCCTCAAAATCAACCAAAGATATTGTTTCCATATAGTCTTTAAGCTTCAAGAATTTCATCTTTTTCCTTGGGCCTCTTTGCTCGTGACTACCTGCAAAATCCCTTAGCTTAACAGCAATTGCTGGGAAGCAATTCAGATTGTACATTTCATGGGTAGACACTACGTGTAAAGTCACCTGTGCCAAGGGACTCATCTCTGTGGCATGGAGAGAACTATAAACTGATGCTGCTAAACAAGCCTCAGAGATGTTAATCTCACTGCCACAGATGCTTGTCATGTGGAGTACAAATCTCGGCTTTTTCAGACTTGTAGTATTCTAAATAATAGGACTCTCAGTCAATTTAGATGGCCAGCCACAGGCACAGGGCTTCTGTCGGCCAAACCTGCCTCCTCCCTCCTTTCTTTTTCTCACTTCCTTCTTGTCATTTATTCTGTGCTTGCCTTCTAGCCAGTTCTGCTAAGTTCGCCTCTTGCTTGTAGAATTTTTTTCTATTAAATTCTTTTATTGGTACATTTTAGGTATACAATACATTTACATTCATCATTGAGAATTTGTACCTTTACATGATGTATCTTGGTTCTTATTTTTTCCCCATTCCCCTGCTCTCCCTTCAACCCATCCACCTCTTCCTAGTTATGTAGGGTTTTCTTTTAATGAAGGAGTCTACACACTTGCAATTCCATTATTGGGCTCATTCATTCCATAATTTAAAAAATTTTATTAGTAATGCTTACAGTACCTAATGAACACGTTCATTGTGGGGAATTGGTACAAGTACATATAACAACTCAATTCTGATTTTTTTCCCCTTTCTTTGCTACCTCCTCTTTAAAATTTTTTTCCAGAATCATTTATTTTATATGTCCTTATCAAGTTAATTATAAATACAGATTAACAACCAGACTAACAGGCCAAAATCCATATAAAACGTATAAGGCAATCATACTAAATCAAGGTACACTTTTAGATGCATTATCATTGTTAGATTAAGGTAACTTTTCTCTTTCTTTTACCATTGTCTTTTATTTTGCAATTTATTTATAGATTAGGTTTCTCCTATAAGAGAAATGATACGATATTTAAACTTGTATGTCTGATTTATTTCACTTAACATTATGGTCTCAAGGTGCATCCATTTTCCTTCAAGGGGCTTCCTACCAATGACTCATGTTTACCTTTCTTTATGCAGGGAGGTACTCCATTGTGTATAAACACCATGTTTTCTTTATCCATTCATCTGTTGATGACTATATAGGCCACTTCCAAGATTTTTATGAATTGTGCTGCTACAAACATGGGTATGCATACATTACTGTGGTGTGATGTCTTTAACTCTAGGGAAGATACCTACAAATGGAATAGCTGGGCTAAAAAAAAACTTATAATTTCAATTTATGCAGCATCTCTGTACTGAATTCCACAGTGGTTATACTCCCAACAGTACAGAAGCATTCCTTTTTTCTCCAAGGCCTCACCAGCATTTTTCTTGGTTGATTTCTTGATGATAGCCATTCTTTCTGGAATGAGAGATGGAATCTCAGTGTTGTTTTAATTTGCACTTTTCAAATCGCCAGTGGTGTTGAACATTTTTTTGTGTATTTATTGGCAGTTTGTACTTCTTCATCTATTTATTTCAGATGCCCATTTTTTGATTCAGTCTTTAAATTTGGGAGGGTCTGACTTTTTTTAGTTCTTTATATATACTAGATATTAATCCTTTGTCTGAGGTGTAGCTAACAAAACATTTTCCCCATTCTGTAGGTTGTCCCACTCTTGCTGGTTTCCTTTGCTGTGCAGAAGCTTTTTTGTTTGATGTGATTTCTTTTGTTGATTCTTGGTATTATTTTTTATTTATTGATTTGTTTGTTTGTTTATTTTGGTACCAGGGATTGAACTCAGGACCTTGCACTTGCCAGGCAGGCAGTGGAACCACTGAGCTAAATTCCCGACCCTATTGGTATTATTTCTTGCGCAACCAGGGTTGCTTTCAAAAAGTCCTTGTCTATACCTATGCCTTCAAGAGTTGTAGCTATTGTATCTTCTAGCAGATTGTTTGTATTTTAATATTATATCTTTGATCCACTTTGATTTTTAGTTTGTGCATGGTAAGAGATCTGGGTCTAGGTTCAATCTTTGACATGTGTATAGCCTGTTTTCCAGCATCATTTTTTTTTTTTGGAGGGGTATTGAGGATCAAACTCAGGACCTTGCACTTGCCAGGCAGCTGGCAGCACCACTGAGCTAAATCCCCAACCCTCCAGCATCATTTCTTAAATGGCTGTCATGGCAAGGCATGGTGGTGCATGTCTGTATGAGGCTGAGGCAGGAGGATCACCTCAAATTCAAGGCCAACCTGGGTTATATTGTGAATTCAAGGCTAGCTTGAACTACATAGCGAGAACCTGTCTCAAAATAATTTTTTTTAAAAGAAGATATCTTTCCTTCAGTGACACTGGTTATTCATGTTTTGTATTGTTCTGTTTAGTTTTTGTAGTGTTTTATTAGTGTCTTCTGAAAGCTCCTGGATCATTATGGTTATTATTTCCATTATCTGTTAATTATATCTTCTGCGGTCTTGCTGAGTACCCCTTTGTTCTATTTTCTCCTCCGTTACCCTTTCAAGTAATTTTGGTACGTGGCTTATGATATTCTGCTCTTTTGTAACCGCTTCTTTGGCTTTGGGGAAGCTGGGAGTTCTGGGAAGTATTTTGTTGCCTTGTCTTTCTCATGTTTCTATTGCCTGTTTGTTTTGGTTTGGTTTTTGTGCTGAGATTTGTGGATGTTTATAATGTAAAGATTTTGTGGCTAGTATAAAGATCTCTTTAGTTGCTTTTCTGCGATGTACTTAGGGCATGGCTAACTGTAGTCCTTTGTGTCAGCCCCAAGATCTGATTCCTTGGTTAATTGGGGAAGTAAGATTGCAGTGTAATTAGACCAACAACCGAGTTCTCTGGGAATGTACTCTAATATTGCTAACGTCACTAAAGTACTGGCTTACACAGAAAGGATATTTGTGGAACTGTGGTAATATCGAGCAAATCAGTAGTATTGTCCAAGACAAGTTGCATATTAACATACCATAAGCACCAATTATGTACCATCCCTAACTGTAGAGAAGAAATCCACAGTTATGGTGTAAAAACCCAGGTTTTGACTTGTAGCTAATATGTACTAAACGTAACAGCTATATTTCTGCCGATGGTAGAAAAGAATTCAACAGTAATTTT